CTGAGGCGCCGGGGAGCTCGTAGGAGCCAGCGCGGCCGCCGGCTGGGCTGAATCGACGGCGCCGGCTGACTGCAGGCGGCCTGGAGGGAAGGAAGGCGAGGCGGGAAGGCGGGAGTCCCTTCCCCGCTCGGCCCCGGGGCGCCCGGCGGGCCTGTCCCTTCGAGACCTGGGCTGACGGCTCTCCGAAGCGGCCGGGACCCCTGGCTGAAAATCCCTTTTTTTCCTTTTTTCCCCCCCCGCCCGGGCCCCCCCCGGGCCCCCGCCGGTGCTACAGAGCCGGGGCCGAGCCTGCCCCGTACCGGCAGCGCTCGGGCGCCGTGCGGGAGTCTCTTGGAAGGAAGGTTTCTGACAGCAGACCTGTGAAAAGGGATCCTGGTTACTTCAGGCACTTCAGAATTTAAAAAGCTGGCGAAATAACGCCGTCGAGTACGCCTTCAGGACGGCCGAAGGAAAACGCTGAGGTGCGCCGTAAATGCGCGCCTGTGTCGCTCAGGCGTTATGGTGGCGGAGCCGCTGTTTGCTGCTGGAGTCAGAGAAGTTTCTGGTGAAGGCAGAAGGCTCAGCGTCAGATTTAGGAGCAGAACAGAATGACGACGGCATGGGTCCCGTAGCTGCCCCCGAGCGTCCCGCTGCTCACTGTGCTCTTCTGTTCAGATCTGCTTTCCGCGGCTTTGTAAAACCCATTTTACCAGCAGCTGGGAGTCCCATATGTCAGTATTTTTCCTCACTTTTCCGCTCCTCCGAGCAGTGCCACGGGCACCGCTTCTCCACTTTTCTCTCCCTTATTTAATTTGACATTAATACTGTTTATCTTTAGAACAGCAGAAGACTTCACTAATAAGCTTCATGATGCTTTCACGTGACTTGCAGAAGATATGTATGTAGGGAAAAGTAGCCTTTGTTTAAAAACGACTGCAATGTAAAATGTTTACCGTTCAGGGTAAGCCTTCACAACCTGTCTCTGCATTCCTTTCCTCATACTTGGTAAAAACCTTATTTTTTTAATTCACGACCCCACGAATCACTTGCGAAGATGAGTACCAGTACTGGGGACCCAAGTCTGTTTTCCCCAGTGATGGAAAAGCAGCTGCTCCCACCTTTCTGAGAAGGGGTGGCTGGGAAGGACAGTCCTGTGGCGAATGCACCCACAGGCAAACTGGCAGCTTGGGAGGGGAGGCGCATGAAAGCTGTATTAGTTACTGAGGCTGACGATTAAATGAGCTAATAAAACTGAAGGGCAGAAGATGCTGTTTAAACATAACTTGCACTATAGCAGCTGAAGCAGCCCACAATATAGAGACCGTAGAGCTCCCCACACCACTGGAACAAGTCCTACTTTTTTCTGATGAAAAAAGTTCACTCCTAGATTTTAAAAGCTGTCGATATCCACCAAATAAAGCATATTTATAATGGTTTATAATTAAGGACTGTCCTCTAGCTGTATAGTGTTCCCCACGAGAGAAAACAGACTTGGATGGTCCTTTCAGGCAGCTTCTTTGTGAAAAAGTAAAGCTACTAACATTGAATTTTGCATTTCTGTTGGCTAGGTGCCACGGTTATATCTGAACTTTTATCAGATGAGTGAGATGCGCTACCCGTGTTATCTTAGCTATCCAGGGAAGCAAGAACCCACTTCCCGTGACACCACGTAGCAGACCTGAAGGATGGCACAGTGCAGTATTAGGGCCAGGAATTTGGGCAGGATGCCCCTCCTGCACCTCCCTCTGCAGCCACATGCCCCCCCCCCCGCCCCCCACCCCAAGTACTGACCAGCTAAAGCCACAGCTCAGCTCTGCCTTGGTTTGAAAAGTTATAGGCAGCTACACCTCCATGTAGTTCACTGAGTCAGTGTGTCAGGAGACATGGACTTCCCAAACAATCTCCTCCATGCTGCCAGCGACCCGTTTCAATTTTCCTATTAATCTGAAGTGTAAGGCACTTTTCCCCACCTTGGTCTTTTAGGGAAATATTCTTCAGGAATAAGGTTTTAATTTATCTCTTTTAAGCAGCATTTTATCTTAATAAAAAATGGTTATCTGCTGTACATATTAGCTATGAAACTAGAGCTCAGGGAGGGGAATCTCAGCAGGTTTGTCTTGTACCATTTTCCCTTTGTTTTCCTCCCACCCCTGTGGAGACTGATGAGAAGATAAGCTTTGTACTTTAGGTTCCCCAGTCCTGCCCTTCATCATGTTGGTCCTCTCCTCTGGCCCTGTGAAACACTTCAATCTTTTGTATATTAGCAAAAAAAAAAATCCACCCACCAAAACAAATGAAAAACTCTCATTACTATTAAAATCAAAACATAGGATCCCCCCTGACATCAAAGGCTGACCATCTATTGACCTTAGCATGCATAGGATAACAAGTTCCCAGTGAAGAAAGGAGCTGAAACTGGCTTGAGCCTCTCACTTCTCTGCCTACTTCTATAAAGACAGGGGCTTTAGATTTCTCCAGCAAAAAGAAGCCACTGAAGTAGAGTGAAGGCAATTTTTCATTTCCCATGTACTCTACACCACATAGAGAAGCTGCTGCAGCGTTGTGCACCACATGCTTTTCTGTTGCTTAACTTGGAAGAAGGAACTTTCAACAATTCCCTCCAGAACACTGGAATATTAGCTGATTAAATGCAAAAGGAGCACAGGTTTAAAAAACTTTTTAATTTGTTTATCTGCATTCCAAAACAATTCAAATATGTTCCATTTACTGTAAAAAAGAGGCAAGTGTTTCAGAAATTTAATGCCAAGCTTAACCTGTTTCACTATACAGCACAAGCTTGCCAATTTGATGGCATAGTTTTTTTAAAAAAACACACCCCCCCAAAACTCTTTATTAACCTTTCATGCCAGAAATGTGCATTTTAGCTACGTTCAGTTGTGGACAGTACATTAATCCATCCAGCAGAAGTAACATCTGGACAGAGGTCAGGTAAACTCTACGCTTTCTCATAGTGGCGAACAGCAACCACATCACCAAAGGTGAGAGTCTGCAAGTCCAAGGAAAAGACAGACATGTTAGATGCTGGACCATTTTCTATAATGACTTAACACATATTAAAGAAGCCCATGCTAGAGCAAGGTTGGTTTACATCATGTAATTTATAGAAAAACAAATTGGTGTAGATTATTGATATTTTAAATGAACAAGAGGCAAAACCTTAATTACAGTTCCCGTAATAAACCTAACTTTCTCCTTGCTTCTTTCAAACCCAAGAAGCACATACTGCACATTTACAAGGCAACTATAGTGAGGCTAGAAACTACTGTTTAATTTTTCTAGTTTTTGTGAATGTAGTTTCTTAAATACAGCATTGTTTTAATACAGATTTAACACTGATTTTCCCAAAGCTGATCACACTGCGAGATGTGCAATCTAAAAATCCAAGTCCTCTATACCCACATTCTACACTATTATGCATAGGCATATACTTAAGGAGAACCCTGTACTAAAATAAATGCATTCTGTGCACTTAGGTAGCTAGAACTACCAAATATTTTAGTCGCTGCAGTTGTGCGGAACACTAACTGCAGTGTGTGAGTTTTGGAGGCATTTCCTGAAGTGGAACAGGGCATCTCACCGTGTTCAAACTCCAAAGGAAAAGGTTTTCTGTATATGCATGTAGCCATTTCCAAAAACAAAGCACATATTTTCCTTTGTATTACTTGTCACCTTGTGTTGCACTGACTGTGTGCTTTAAGCTTTTAAATATTTGGAGGTCTCCATCCATACAGATACTCTCCAAAGTATTTGGAAAACAAGCTAACTGGTTTT